GACCTGAGGAAGGGTTATACTCTGAGAACAAATGAGAGGAACCACATATATGGTCGGAAGTACAAGAATCAATAATCCATGGCACAGTAGTATGACAGGGCAATGCACATGTGGAGGAAGCCAAGTTACCTAAATTAGCAAAGAAAGAGGAGGGTGCACTTGTGGCAGAAATAGAGGCTCGACGGTCTAGCAAGTGGTGAAGAGTAATCTCAAAATCGGAGGAAGATAACCCCGAAACATCAGCAGCCGGTGAGACAACGGGAGATGAAGGTGGTGGCTCAATCGTGTCTGAAAGATGCGCCCGTGCATTGGCCCTTCGACCTCTAAGAGTGACTAGACCGACCCCCTCGAGTACCAGGACAGTCTCCTTGGCCACCAGAAGGAGTCCCATGTAGCTTCCAACAAGTCCCTCTGGTGTGGTGAGGTCTACGGTAGTAGTCACAGAAAAGTTGATCCTTCTCAGAGGAGGGACGAGAACCACGAGGCACACCATCTTGAGGGGGTGCAGAAACTAAGGCAGAGCGATCAGTAGTGGTAGGAGGAAGCATAAGAGAACGACAACTTTCCTCATTCTGCACAAAAGCAAAGGCTTTCTAGAGAGATGGAAGCATGTCCATGCCAGGTACTCTGCTTCGAACAGGATCATACTCCATATTCAGACCTTCCAAGGACTTGAAGGCCCGCTCTCTCTCCACAACTTTTCGGTAACCAGCAGAATCAGTGGGACAAATAGGTTTGTAATCTTGAAGGTGATCAAGTCGCTTCCACCCATTGCTAAGGAAGGTAAAATACTAGAGGATAGTTATCTCACCTTGCATCGACCGCTCAATGGAGCGACGTAACTTGAAAGCCTGTGAGAAGTTCTCCTTCCTGGAACAAGTAGTAGCTATGGCCTCCCAAATATCTTGGGCAGTGTCCATAGACAAGTAGCCATCGTCAATCTCCGGAACCATAGAATGAATTAACCAGCCCATAATCAGAGAATTGGTGATCTCTCACTGGTCATAACGAAGGTCTGTAATACTGGGTGCCTGGACCCTCCCATGAACATATCCCATATTCTCGTTGCTCGTCAAGAAAACAGTCAGACTTTGCGACCACGCTAGGAAATTCTGACCATTGAATGAAGAGGTGGTGATTTTAAGGCCATAGTTAAGGTTATCAGTCATAGTAAAAGGGATAACAGAACTTTTGCCCTTAGATGGTTGAGAGGTAGTAGACTCACTTGTCAAATCTGCCATGGAAACTCTACTAATTACTCCTCAAACATGTCAATCACAAACCCGAAAGATGATAGTGGAAAAACAAGAACAACAGTCACTATGAAAACATAAAAAAATTAAGAACCTAGTAACATACTCTTTTTGTTTTGTTTTGTTTTTTTTTTAGTTTACATCACTAGAAGAGCCCCCAAGAGAAGAAAGGAGTGTTGTACATCACCAGAATAGCCCTGAAGAGAAGGCATGAGCCTAGGCTACCCTAGAAGGGCTGCCGACCTAGACCAGACCAGCAAGGAGGCTGGTTGGCCACCTGGAGACCCTTGGCAGTGGCTGGAGGGGCCTGTTGAGGGAGAGGGAAGGTTGGGTAAGGGTTGTTGGGAGGAGAGAAGGCTAGACAAGGCCTGGGTGGGGCTGTCGGGAAGAGAGGAAGAAGGAGGGAGGCTGGCGGTGGCTGGAGGGAGCTTGGCGGTGGCTTAGAAGAGTATTTCGTATAGGAGGGGAGAGAAAGAAAGCAATGGGTAGGGATGGGTGGCAGAGAAGGAGAGATGGCTAGGGCATGGCTTTGATATATGTAAGTTTAGAGAAGAGAGAGTTAGGAGATATGTTAGATCTCATCCCCTTTTATATTGATAATAATAAGTGATTACAGGAGTGCCATAAGGCATAAATTATGGGCCAGCCCATTATACCAATAAAACTAAAATAAGAAAAAAATATAACAAATATTCTTTCTTATTTCTAACAGCCCCTACCATTGTCATCTCCGCCATCACGATTGCGCCTTCCATAACCGACACCGTCATTGGTTTACCCCGACACACTCTCTCTTATTCTTCTTCATCGTCGTGTCGCCCTCACTCTTTTCTTCTACAACTCGCATATCTCTCTCTTCTTCTGCAACTGGAAGAAGAATGGCGTCGACTAGGGAGGAAGAACAGCACAAACCCTAGATCTAGGATTTTCAGAGAAGAAAATAAGAAGAAGAAGAAGGAGATGGGATGGAAGGTTGCAGTAGCAATGGTATGGAGGTGGTGGAGGGAGGAAGGGGTGGGAAAGGGTTTGGGAGTAAGGCAGGTGGAGTGAGGAGGAGATTCGTCAGAGAAGAAGGAGGAGGAGGTGACGACGATGGGCTACGACGGTGGCTAGGGTAGAGGTGGTGATAGTGGCTAGTTAGGGTTAGAAATTAGGTTAGTGTTAGACGGGTGAAGAAGATGGTATTTTTGGTATAATGAGTTGTGTACTGAGTGAATTTTTTTTTCTTCAAATCCATTAAGTGTGTGAACTGAGATATAATGTGCACATAGATAAAAAAGTGTGTGGAAATAGAATTACTCGCGATAATTGGCTTGAATGCTTTTGGATTGAAATATTTTATCTAAGAGGACATTTTGGGGAAAATTAGATGGGCAACTCAAATGTTTTAAAGAACTTGTATAAATCAAATTAACCTGCTAATGTTGTACAAAATCACTTGCTTAACTATAATCCTACAACTTTATTTTTTGGAGCAAGTTGAAGGAAAGAAGGGAACATAGGAGGAAGGCACTTAGTTGACCAATTGTTGGAAGACACAAAATCTTATTTAGGGTATTGAGGTTGTGTTTGGATCATGGATTTGAGTGGGGATTTGGAAAGGAAAAATAAAAAGTGGGGGAAATGTGAATGATATAAAAGTTAAATTTTTTCTCCATTTCCTTCACCTTTTCCTTTCCCTTTCTACGTCCCTATCTAAGTCAATGATTCAAACACAACATTAGTGATATAAAGCTAGGTAAGAAACCTGATTAATTGGCTAGCCACTTGAGTGTGGTTATAATGTTCTACCAAAATGTCAATTTAAAGAAATTCCTTTTCTCCAAATTCTGCAAATCTATTTGGTAATGGTAATCTTGGAGATGCAATGGTTGATTGTTGTGAGGATCTTTGCTCTAAATATTATTTAACTTTTATGTCAATGTATTATGTTTGCATTCTCATGTCAATACCACGCCTAGTAATATTACTTGCAATATTTTTCAATTTTTTGGAAATTACCGTTTGCATTTTATTTTATATTTCCAAAAATTTTGTGTTTATTTGAGATAGCATGTCTTAAAGGGAAAATTGAAAATTCCTTCATAAGTGAAATCAAACCATTGACTACAAGCTGCTCACTAATGAGTACCATATGATGCATTGTTGTGGAGATTGCAACCAAACATGTGTTTGAAGTTTGGACTTAGGATACGTTACCCACAACCTTACTCTTTTGACTATAATGAAATCCCTTTAGAGAAGAAACGCACATGGCTTAACTCGTTATATTATAAAATTTTCTGGTGGTAACATTAGAATGTTTTAATCTTTAAAATGGGCACTCAAATGGTCCAAATTAAATTTTGTTTAAATCATCACTGCATCTCCTTGAAGAAAAGAACAAAAACTAAAAATAAATGAATAAAATAAAATAAAAATCTAAAATTCCTAAATAAACACCAACTTTGGTGTTTTTTTTTGTCTCTTCAAATATTGCTCACATGTAAGATTAAAATGTAGAGTGTTCGAGTTTTAGATTTGTTAGGAAACATTAATTGTTAGTAGCAAGTTTTTTGTATGTAGTCCACAAACTCCACGCAGAATTAGACGAAATCTTCTCCCTCCGCCTTAATGAATTATAACTTCAGCATAAAGAGCAGGCCTTGAAACAGTTTCCTCGTTTTCACATTCAACTTTATGTGTTATGAACGTGCGATTTACTTCTCTTGATAGCAAAAAATACATACCTTTCAGTAGTTCTTTCTTTAACAATTCATCAACATTGATAAAGGTGGTACAGTTGTGAGGCCGTTTAATGATAATATAATTTTCTTTTTGATAAGTCTAATGATAATATTAATATCATGCTGAAATAGAAAAAGATTTGTAACATTCCAGAATGACAAGTGTCACTAACCGAAACTTGCCGTTGATACTTGGATTACCCTTTGCAAGGGGCTGTATTGTCACTTCTGTATTTGGGAAGCTTTACTGGGTGCACAAGGCCATCTCTATCTGTTTCTTACTTTTAAGGGGCCGGAATGTACAGTCCATTCAAGCTTCAATAAGTTGCTAGAGATGAGTTATAGTGAAAGTAATAAAGTAATGGATCTGCTTGGTGGATAATGCTAGGGTGGAATTGATTAGTCAAGGTTGTGTATTTTTCTGTAACCTTGTTTGTTGTAAGAACAAGTAAACTGCAGTATAGCATATTGTTGAATTTGAGATGCAAAGATTCTATTCCAAGGTCCAGGACTGATGTTAACAATGTAAGATGGCGGAAGTTATATATTATCTGCTGCTTCTTCCATGAAAGTTCATTTATTCTGTTTCTTAACATCTTCCATCTTTTGGCTGCCAATTACATTCATGTGAAATTTATTTTATTCCCCTTGTTTTCCTTTACATACAAAGGCACAAATGCTTCATATGAGACATCTTTGGAAATGGTAATGTTAAATGTGAGTTGTGATTTTTGTTTGTTTGTTTCTTTTCTTTTTTGGGTTGGGAAAACTACAAATTTTCCTTGACATAATACCAAAAAAATTATGGAATGCCATAGGAACTAATCTAATGCTGCGTAAGTTCAATGAGATGGTTTTATACACAAAGAATGTTAGTCTAATGGATACGTCCATAAATTTGTGTTTTAGTGTTGCTGTCTTTCATGAATCATCATAATGAGCTTCTGAAACCTCAGGGAGTTTCATGTTGCAAATTTGGAATTTTGACGTGAGGGCTTTGTTAACCATGCTGATTTTGCAGTTGCTTGTTGCCGGGGGTGGAATGTACGTGGAGGTGTTCAACAGAGGGGTTATTCCGCTTGCATACAGCATCAAGAAGAAAAACAAAGCAGGAGAGAGTAATACTTACTTGGACGGTATCTACCTCCTCTTCACTTATTTCACCAAACCCGAGTCCATGGCAGTTCTTGAGGGAACACTGCAAACAGATGATGATGTAATTCGATCATCCACCTTTAAAATAAGGAAGAGGAAGTACTAATTTGGGGTGTACTTTGATTCAGTTGTGTAGCTCAAAGGGGAAGACCGAAGGGAAACCGCATAGTTTTGAGCTCATATTTTCTTTCCTGTTGTTGGAAATTGATTTGTTTTGTGTAACATAATCAGGTTTTCTGGCAGTTAAAAGCTATGCTGTATAGCAGTTGTTGCTTGAAGTTGCAGTAGAGGGTCAGCATCTTAATGGTAGGAAAGTTCAGCTTAATCTTGATTCTGTTGGACTTATGTCCAGTAGTTTCTAGAGTAAAACCTATTGTTCTTCCTTTAATTGGAAATATTTTGAGCATTTCTACAATGAATATAGAATATCTGTTACTCTCTCATTTATAAATAATTCTACAGTGAATATAGAATATCTGCAACTTTTTAAAAAGGATTTGGTTAATGAGTGTGCTAATGTATTGGTTAACAATGTTTAAATTGATTATATATTGCATGTTGCACGCATTCTTATGCATTATGTACAAACATTTCAAACTTGACAAGTGTACTAAGAGCACTTATTGACAAAATTCTTTTATTGACATTTTAATCTAAGAGCATGTTATTTATTGTGTTGCCTTCTAACTATTTCATATACTATGGAATAGTATCAATTCTATTGTTTTGATAGGTAAATGTGATTATTAGTGGTCGTTGGACTTAACTTGGTGGGCTTAGTGAATTGGTTGTTAGATTTTGTTGACTTTCAAGTTATTGTTTGATGATGTAAATACTTCTGATAATATAATTACTCTCTTGACTATTGATAAAAAATAGAAAAAAGATAGGTATGTGATTTGATATTTTTATGATTACAAAAACCATACAAGTAGATTTTTTATTTGTGTAAATTATATTAACTAATAGAAAGAGTCTAATAAATTATGAACTAAGATTTTAGTTATTTAACTTTAAAAAAAAGTTGTATAAAATAATTGAGCCAACTATTTAAAAATAATTGATATAAGAAATTATCACCTATTGATATTTTCTAATTTTGCACAGCACTAAAGACATTGTCATATTTTTCAAAGGGTTAGTTACCCTTTTCATCTTTATAGTTTGTTCTAAATTTTATTTCAGTTCTAATTTTTTTCAATTTGAACAATTTAATCTCTAAACTTAAAGTTCAATTTCAATTTGGTTTTTTTCTTCAATTTTTTTGTCAATCTGGGTTTTCTACTCAAAATTTTGTCAATTGTTTCCCACATGCATACCTTAAGAAATTGACAAATATTTCAAAATCATTATTTTAACATCGAACTTGACTGAAATAACTAGATTAAAACTATACATAAAATGTAAAGATCAAATTATTCAAATCAAAGTAAAATTCTGATCAAACTATAAAGGTTAAAAGTGTAATCTACCCTTTTCCAAAAGTGGTTAATTTTGTTTACTTATACACTTGCATTGACCCCCTTAATATGGGATAATACAACTATGGAGTCATCAACCATTCCATTCCATTCCATTCCATGACTGAAAATTTTGCTTCAAAAAAAAATAAATGATGCATCAATTTCCCAAAACAGGGTAAGCTCATTTTGAAGTGTCATTGTTGCTGTGATCTCCATCCACTACAAAAAGAAATCTACATTCACGACAAAGATTCGTGGATAATATAATATTTTCCTCATTGAGCACTAATCATAAACTAATTAATATTCTAATTATAAACTAATCAAACAAAGTCTCCAATGTTTGCCTCTGCCAATGATATTTATGCCACTTTTACACTAAACAATGTCTAGATAAGATCTTAAATATCACCAAATTGTGACAGGTTCAGAATCTTTTTGTCATTAGATAAAAATTCTACAGCTGCCCATGTTTTAAATATTGGAGATACTATTGAGTTCTTAATCTTTTGATATGGATACCTTGAGTTTTTATCCTTTTAATATCAATAGTCACTGCTATGATACAGTCAATTCATAATTGATACGATACGATTAATTTGGCTATAATGAAATTATTTTTTGAAGCTAATAATTTCATTATTGTGATTCGCAACACTTAATTCTTGATGAATGCTCTCCATACAGTAACATTACAACTGATATTGATACCAATACCAATACGTGTCTTGATTCCTGTATTTAAAACTGCCCATCTCAGAGGATTATATTAGGAATAGAAGAGCCACTTTGTTTAAATAAAACAAAATGTGTGAGATTGAACAGAAACATTTCCTCCTTGTATCTTGAGAGAATCTGATTTAGTGGGTGCAATTTGAGGTCTTACCTCATACCCACTTTCACGAAGAGAGAGAGAGGCAGAGAGAGAGACAGGGACAGGGACAGGGGTCTCTTCAAGATGCATAAACAATGGTTAGAAGTGTATTGAATTGAAGGGTATGTTTAGATTAGATAAGTGATAAAAATTTAAGAAATCCCCACATGAAACTGCATCATAAGAAGATGAGGCAAGTTGAAACATTTATGATTATGAAATAGACAAGGAGAATAACGCCACAATGCACAAAAGTGAACGTGGGCCTCAAAATAATGTGCACCTAAGACCTATGTACTCACTAATACTTACTCTTTTATGTGATCTTGTTAATAAATATCTTTAAGGATGTCAATAATTTTTTTTTAAAAATATGTCAAAATATTTATAATTTTAATATATTTTAAAATTTTTTTACACATTTCAATACATTTTTTCAACACTAACAACAATTTTAAGAGTTATTTTTAGTATTTTTCTTATTTTATTTTGTCAATCAATACAAGGGGCAAAGCAAAAGTTTTTCCATATTGAAGGCAAAGATTGGGTGTTCAAAAGAATTAGTTGAATCGTTAAATCCTCTAAAGTGATTCAAATTGTATAACTTGGTCTAGTTTTTCTAAGAAATAGTTTTGGTTCTAATAAATTAAGAATCGTTGATTATAGTTTAGTTAACAGATTAAAACTCAAAAAACCAAATTAAACCGAATCGAATTGTTCCCTCCTTTATATTAATTTTCATATATATCGGGGTGTTCCACAAGGAATTTGTTATGTTTTTTTGGCTTCGTAGAGCTCTTTTAATGTTATTTCAACATCGATGACATTTTATTCATCTTATTTACAAAATATTTTCTCTATATATGAAGATGTGTTTATGTTTTCTTTTTTTTTTTTTTCACTATTTACATGATTTTTTACATTTGTCATATTATTGAAAATTGTATGCCTATAGTAAGTGCTACATAATATGATGAATTTGTTATGTCATTACCCATTTTATAAATTTAGTTTGGAGAAAATTTTAAAATTTTGAAATTAGTTTTATAGGTAGGATCAATATTTTTTGAATGGATAGTCTATATATTGATAAAATTTTCTAGCTTAGAACCATAAAACCAAACTATTTTTAAATAAGATTGATTTTGTTCTGAGTTTACCTTATAACCAAATTCATTCTGCCCATGAGCACCCCTATCCAAGAGTACGTAACAATAATAAAATCTAAGTAGATTTGTAATTGTAAACAAAACAAGTTATTTGAATTTCAATTGTGTTCAATTTGTTAAAAGTTAGTTTTAGATCAATTCATTATGTAAACAAATAAATCTTAAACATATTTTTCAAGTTCATTGAGTTTTTTAGTTAAATTTAAATAAAATTTTGTACATCATAAAAAGTTGATATATTTAGAAAGTTACTATTTTTTTTTTTTAAGTAAAAAAATTGAGTGACGTTTTAGATTTTTTTAGCTTATGACAATTGGAGTCTATATTAAATCAAGTACTAACTTGAAAAAAAAAAAAAAAGGGTTTGGGAAAATTTAGTGGGTAAACAAGTTGAATAGTGCTTTCAATTAAATTAATACAAGTTTATAATGTTTTTAAAGATGATGAAAAAGTTTAAAGGTAACAAAGGAATCCATACTATGAATAAGTTGTGCACTTGTATTATTAATATTATATGGGGAAAAAGGTCAGGCCTCGATTACCACTAATAATATTGTGCAGCAAAAGTAAATAAAGGCATCAAATTAAACATATAAACCCATCATTGGGCTTACATTCTTTATCAGTAATAAAATAAAGGCGTTGGCTTCTGTCCAGTCCGATTAAAACAGTATTGTTGGATTCGTGTTCACCACGAGTCCTATTTTGATAATTTGAACCGTTCAATGTGTAGAACTCGTCGAGTACTATAAGTCTGTAAAAAAATCACGTTAATCGGATATCGGTAGCTATGTGATCAAATCAGATTTTTGTCAACCGTTAATTTATTCACCGTCCATTTTTTTTCTATACAAAACTGATTTGATCACATAGCTACCGATATCCGATTAACGTGATTTTTTATAAGTTTATAATACTCGACGAGTTCTATACATTGACGGTTCAGATTATCAAAACGAGACCCGTGGTGTACCTCTACGGGTCCAACAATACGGTCCAGTCCGATTAACAGAAGCCAAGCCCTAAAATAAAATTAGGCTCCGTTTGGCAAGAGCTAAACGGGACTTTTTTGGCTATTTTAGCCACAAAAGACAAAATTGGCTATTTTAGCCACAAAAAACAAAACATCACATCCAACCCATAATCATTACATTCTTCTCTCACAAAAAAAGTCAAAAAGCCCTTTCCAAACCAAACTTTTTAGCCTAGGCTAAAATAGCTAAAAAAATCAAAAAACTAAAAAGTCAACCCACTTCCCAAACGGAGGCTAGTAGGTTTCAATTCAAGAATTGGTTTCTTTTAGTAAAAAATGTATGGATGAATGAACAAAGCTACCTATAGCTGTAAGGCAGAAATGCGTCAAGTTGAGTTAAACCCATCTCATGTTTAGAAGACAAAGATAAATGGGACTCAATTGTAGAGTATTGTTTCACAATATTTATTATATTATTATTATAAAAAAAAATTAAAAAAATCTTTTGACCAATAAAATTTAAGACATCACGTGAATTTGCCTCACATGACTGTATAATTTTCCAAATCTTAATGGCAACTCATGCGCTTGTCCCATCATGACAAAAAAAGAAAAAACAAGAGGCCGAATAAGGGACTGTTTAGATAACTTGGAAATTCTCAACCAACAGAGGGTAGATTAGGTTGACCCATCATGATGTCTGAAAAAAATAACGTCTTACATTTTTCACATAATTATATTAATTTATTTTTAATTAAAATTAATATAAATATTATAAAAATATAAAAATAAATAAAGTATAATTAATTTTAGTATAAAAGAGATATTAAGGTTATTTTTCTATTCATATAACTAATAAATTATTAATAAAAATGAGACTAAAATCTTATGCGAAATTTAATATAATTAAAATCAATTTATGAAATTTATTATATTTTTTCAATTTAAAAAAACACAAAAAACCTAAAAATTGGGATCAATTAACGTGGAAGGTTCTTTGTTCTTTGCACCCTTTCACATTTTATTAACAAAGTCACACAATTAATGTACTTTTCTCAAAATTCTTAACCATTTCTCTTCCTTAACATGCATCTCTCTGTTTGATATATATATATATATATATATAAAATACTTACATCTCTCAAAAGAAAACATACTTACATTTCTCTGTTACAAGTTAGATCATTATTTGTTTTTTTAATAATACTACATACTCAGAATAATTATTTAGAACGTACATAAAAAAAATGTCCATATCTCATCAATTTTAAATTTATAATATACACTTCATTTTCAGAATAATTTTAAAATAAAAAATTCATAGTAAGAAAACATGTTTTTTGGGTCCTACATATAAGTTCAACAAGGCCTTAATTTGTAGCTAGATGTCTAGCTTTTCAATCTTCTATGACCTTGAACCATTTGAAGTTTTTCAAAAGATTAAAGACTGATAATCTAGAAATGGGTTATCCTCAAGCTCCTCCAAACTCTCCTCACTTGTATCCTCAAACAATTCAACTTAAACTATACCAGGCCTTTATATTCTCAATCCCAATACTCTTCTCCATAATTCTCTTACTCTTGTTTTACTTGTTCTACCTCAAGAGGAGGGCTTCCCCTGGTTCCTCCCAACCAACACTTCCAAGGACCACCTTAAATCATGCTCTCTTTCCTTCTTCAGTAAGTCCTCTTTTTCTCTCTCTAAACATACACATGAATGAAAGAGAAGTATGATACTTGGTCTTGTATTCTGATGAAACACCAAAGTTAATCAATTGTATATGAGCTTGTTCGAACGTTTTTAATTTTTGAAGTTTCTTTGCTGTGTTTATGTCTGCAGAGTGAGATGGGTTTGAAGGGAAACCTCAAAGACAATCTTCCAATAATCTTGGTCGATGAAGATTTAACTTCAAGGGATTCAACGTAAGTCTTTCAATTTAATCAGTTGTCTTCTATTTTTCTTTTAACTCAACACAATTCAATAATTCATTCATTTTTTTTGGTGAGAGGTGTTATTCTATCTCTCTCTCTATATCTTTTTTCTTCTCTTTCTAAAAAATAATATGCAAATTAACAAAACTTATAAATTTTTCTTACTCACTCGATAATAAAATTTTGATAATTGAAATGGAACTCACCAAAATAATTTAAGAGGAACAATTAAAATTGAATAAGAGGATTTAGGAAGATTTGTTAATTTGTATTATAGTATTACTACTTTTATTACACGGAGTTTACCTAGTTATCCTAATCATTGGAAAGTTATACTAGCTACATTAGCTCTCAATGAGAGTCTGATCAAATGTGTTACTAATCCAATTCGTAAAATTCTCACTCAACAGGTGTTGTGTTTGTTTGGGAGAATTTGAGATCAAGGAGGAGGTGCACCAGATTCCAACATGCAAACACGTGTTTCACATTGATTGTATAGGTTATTGGCTCCACTCGAACCCCACCTGTCCACTATGTAGATGTATCATCATCACCACCACTATCACCACAACCAAACAGGGCCATTCACAGCCACCTGTTGGACCCAATCTAGTCAGCCAAGATAACCAAAACTTCAACAATAACCCACAGATGGTTCATGATCTAGAGCAACAAGAACAGCTAGTTATGGCTAACAACAATTTAGGAGAACATCACATGCTAGTGATGGAAAGGATCATCTAGTGATAGTAATCATAGTACATACATTTGTTAGCCACATCAGGATTCAGTATATCCAAATCCATAATAGTTGAACCCAAGAGACATACATGCTTTATAATGCCCAAATCAAGTTGGAACAAATGTGATTGATTGATACAAGGAAATGGGACAAAGAGGGACTAAAATGCTAAAAGTCAAAAAAGCCCCAAAACCTGTTATGCTTGTAATCTCCCCATGCCAAATTTTGTGAGTTGTGATCATCTATCTGTTTCCATTTATACTATTAAATTTGAAGTGAATTCAAATTTGTTTGAAAATTACATTTTTGCTCTGGGTTTTCTGTTCAAACTTATTTTTAATTTGTGTGATATTGTCAAATTATTTAAAGAGAATGATAACTCTAAACTTTCATCCTCCATTTTGAGATCAAGATCGAGAGAGAGAGAATTGCACATTATTGTTACTTGAAAGGATCATCTAGTGATAGTAATCATAGTACATACATTTGTTAGCCACATCAAGATTCAGTATATCCAAATCCATAATAGTTGAACCCAAGAGACATACATGCTTTATAATGCCCAAATCAAGTTGGAACAAATGTGATTGATTGATACAAGGAAATGGGACAAAGAGGGACTAAAGTGCTAAAAGTCAAAAAAGCCCCAAAACCTGTTATGCTTGTAATCTCCCCATGCCAAATTTTGTGAGTTGTGATCATCTATCTGTTTCCATTTATACTATTAAATTTGAAGTGAATTCGAATTTGTTTGAAAATTACATTTTTGCTCTGGGTTTTCTGTTCAAACTTATTTTTAATTTGTGTGATATTGTCAAATTATTTAAAGAGAATGATAACTCTAAACTTTCATCCTCCATTTTGAGATCAAGATCGAGAGAGAGAGAATTGCACATTATTGTTACTTGAAAAATAATATATAAGTCTATTTTTTAAACTCAGTAATGTGTCAAGAAGATGATTGGTTGATAATTAAATATTCTCTAATTATCAACCAATTATCTTCTGAATACATCACTGAGTCTAGAAAGCAGATCTAATTTTTAGACATGAATAACAATACTCTTATTATTTTTCTTAGTTCCTAATGTCATAAAATACTTCTCTATACACGTTTCATACACAATCATTATTAGTAGTAGATCAGAGAATGCATGTCAAAGGTACTCATGAATTGCAACAAAATGTTAGGATCACTAACACCACAAAATAGGCAATAATCACCAAATGTTAGTTCACTTCTTTTTTTTTTTTTTTTTGGAACAAAAATGTTAGTTAACTTAGATTGTTAGTATCTAGCATTTTTTTTTTAATTTTTATTTTATTTTATTATGAATCACAAGGCCAAACACAATCTTAAATAGGCAATAATGCCGACAAAATCACGTAGTTTACAATAAACCAGTATTCCCCAAATTATGTCCCTAGTTAATCAGGATTACATGCAATTCAAGTTCTCTATCTCTTCATTTTCTATAAAATGAAAAGTAAAACAATATAACCCCCCCCTTTAATTTCACATCTTTAGGATAAGAGAAGCTGCTGTGTATAGAGCCCATGCAAGAAATGTGGAAATGATGGTAGTCTTAGTAGGCATCCTTCCTTTATCAGTCCTCAACACCATAGCCTCATAAACTGGGCAACAATTTAACACCACAAAACCTGAAATCAACAATTGACCAAACAGTCCCTCTGAGTTCTTGCCCCTCAAAACTCCGATCAACCCTCCAACAAACGCGATTAAATTGATTATTGCTGCTACTGCTAGTGACACAAACATGGGCGACTCAACTCCGAACTCAAATGTCCCTTGATCATACCTTTTGCCCTGTTCATTGTCTACTACTTTGCTGGTGACATTGAATCCCTGTGTGGCAATGCCTAAGTACTTCGATACAAATTCTATTAATCCAAACATGTGACATGTGACTCCCCTCACCATCCACATCCTTTGATCACTCCACCACCTTTGAAATGTTCCTTTGGCTAAGATGCAGTCAAGACAATCTTGTCCATAGCTCCCAATAAATAGAAAAATGTACAAGAAAAACCAGTTATCCGAAACCTGTAACATTAGTTTAATTACAATTTAGGGTTAGTTTACATACATAAAATAGAATAACAGAAAATTATAAGAACAAAAAACCCTACACTACATCCCTTAAGGTTTGAAGAAAATACAACAAAATCTCATGAGTTTGATATAATTACAATGAGCTCCCTTAAAATTTTAATTCACATTATATTTAATCGTGTTTTCATCAAAAATTTGTTAATCATATAGATGAAAAAAAGGCGACAGTCAAATCTTTTACACTAAAATGTATATTTTACGTTGTTTATCTTTGTGTGGTCACACAATTTACATTAGTTTTACATTAGTTTCAGTTAATTTTTTTTTTTTTTTGAATGGCAAAGAAATTTTTATTAAAGATGTGAAAGAGAATACAAAAAGGGAGCTAAACAGTGAGATGTATCATAGCGCTAATCCCACCTCCCAACTAGATTGACACATGGAAACAAGCAAATCATGTGCAACCGACATAGCACAGCACCAAAAGAGTATAATCTGTGTAGCTTCAAGGCTGTGCAAGAAGTCGGCAAGGCACCAACTTAAGAGAGAGAGGAAAAAAAAAAAAAAGAAATAATGCTATATCCTTATTAGGAGAGAGGAATATAGATATTTGGGGATAGAGGGTACTTACCCTATTATCCTTATTATTTTTACCCAATGTGGGCTTAACATGCAATAATGCTATGTAAATACTAAAAAAGTGTTATGAATTTGAAATATGTGAATTAGAGAGTTTGGATCATCATACACAAAGTTTAAATCAATACTATATATTGAAATTTTAAATGCTTCAAGTTTCTTAATATTTTTTCTCTCTCTATATATATATTATATTTCTGCTCATCATGTAGGATTTTTGTAATTTAATTATGTGTATATAGATTTTTCTTTGTCATTGATATCAATTTATTGAAGACTATACAAAATTATTGGATCAAGTAGAACTGAATTGACTAGTGGAGGTAGGTACATACCTTAGGGAAGATGGAGATTCCGTTGAGGAGAGTGAGCTGAGGGAGGAAAGCATATATGGTGATTGGAATTGACCAAATGGGCCAGAAAGCATAGTGTGCATAGCAAAGACCCATTAGAGGCCCCATAGCCTTGGAACCAAAAGTTAATGGACAATATTTGGAGAAGCTCACCTCAAGTAGGCCCACACACCATCTCTTGGTTTGACTTAGGACATCATTGAGGGTTATGGGTACATCCCCTAAAAATGCTGCTCTATTTGGATGGCAAAACACAGACTTCCACCCCTCACATTGCAGCCTATAACCAGTATAGTAGTCCTCCACCAGTGACCCATATCTGAAGCCCAACTGCATATTTTGCAACCAAGTCAATGTTTTAATAACAATAATAGTAACAGTAAATCCTACAGTTTTAGAGAAAAAAATAGGGTAAATTACAGTTATCTTCTCTGAGTTTTAGAGAAATCAGTTTTGGCGCATATATTGACCTCCTTTTTAGTAAGGTCAAAAGAACCAAAATTAATGCACATATTGTGAAGATAAAATAATAAACATGCTAATATATACATATATATATATATATTTCAATGTAAAAGAGATGACAATATCATTTTTTCATACATATGACTTACCAATTACCAATAAAAAATGGGTTAATTGTTATGTGAATTAAAAATCTTAGGGTTGTTTTTGGATCATGAATTTAGGTAGGAATTTAAAAGACAAAGGAAAAGGCGATAGAAACAGAGAAAAAAAGTTAGCTTATATTTCATACACATTTTTCTCATCTTTTCATTTCCTTTCTAAATCTATATGTAAATTCATAATCCAAACGCAACTTAGGGAAACCCAATTTTAATAAATCAAATTTATGAAGACTTACTATAATTTTTTGAAACTTCAGTAAATGTTGGTGTGATTTATCCACCAAAAAAAATATATATATATTAAAAAAAAATGTGTAATTCAAATTTAATTAACAAGCTTACCTTGGAACCCCAATTGGTCTGGTTCTCATACTTGCAATCTGCAACCTGGTGTGCCAATGCCAATACTTGTTTTGCTTGGATGGGCTTGCTTACCACATGGTCCGGCCTCAATTCGGGGATTTCGGGAGCCAGAAAAGATGATGGGCCTCCAAAAAAAACTCGGCGAGAGAAAAAGCATCCAGTCCCAACATGACTTGGGCCTAGCAGACCGTCCAGTCCCGTAGGATTGGTTTGGAACACACGTTTAAACTCACAAGCATAAATATCGTCCTTGTTGAGCCCATGAAAGATCTGAGGAAACTGAACGTACCCTAAATTGGGCCTAAGTTTAGGGTCCGAGAAGAAACATAACATGCGGTGAGGCGTTTGGGGATCATTGGAATACATGTCACAATCTAGGGTCAGGATTATAGGAGCATTTGTCATGATTCCTGATACTCGAACCTTCAAAAATAAATAAATAAACTTAAAATTAAAAAAACATTATCAGCAACTTATTTATTTATTATTGATGGATAAATTATAAACACGTATTTTGAAGTTTGCTTAAAATACAATTTGTCTTTGTAATTCTAAAAATTACATCCGTTCTTTGAAATTTCTAATTTCATAAATTGTCCCTTTTATTAATAAAATATCAAGTCAAATAATAATTTTTAATAATGTTATAAATTTATTTTAATACAGGCAATTTTATCATTGTATAAGAGCATCCACACCAATCTCTTCAAATTCTTAGTCAAATTAGAGCTTAAAAAGCTATGTTACTATTTTAGCTAGTCACATTTTTAGTACCAATTGTATCAAACTCTCTATTCTAACTCAATTCTATTAAAATATTATTTTCTTATTGTATTTGTTATTGTTTCTTTTTTTATTAAATTGATGAGTTGCTAGCCAAACAATTAATTAAAAAAATGCCCCCCCAAAAAAAAAAATTGCCATTGACCAACTGGACTTCCAATAACACCTAATCCACTTGTTGTAGCGATGAACAATACCTCGCTTTATCAGGGGAGGAACTGTAGTGTTGGCAAAATGAACGAAAGATATAGCGAGTCTAACGGATCACATATTTATAGTTTTTGCTCTCTACAATAGCTTCAAAGAGGCTGATGCTGATGCTCTAAGAGAGCATTTAAGAATTTTATTTTTTTGGTTAATTTTATTAAAAAATTCTAACAAATGGATATTTATAATTTTTTAAACTACATGGATCAATCCGTATTTTAAGAAAATTTTAAAAGATATATTTATAATTTATCTTTTATTTATTTTTGAAGCAACCTATATATATGTTTTATTTTAAATGATGTCAGTCTTAAAACACCACAACATTGGGTCTTAATTTGTTCATTCTTTAACAAATCAATAAATGATATATAACAATTCACTTAGATATAAATTTAAAAGTGCTGTTTTAGAATCTTAAAGATTTTGCTTTATTTTAATCTTAAAAAGAAGATTTAAGAGATAATTAACTGTACAAACAAAATTTTTGTATATGCATTTTATATAAAATAATGTGACTTTTTCTATCCATCATTTTAAGTTATATTCATTATTCTAGTTCATACTTTTAATCAAAATAATAAGTTCTTGTATAAAAATTTGATTTCTAAATGATTTTCCTTAGTTAAACATGCTCATCGATCATTTGTGATAGAAGGGAAATGCTACAAACCCCCAGTAGGGTGACCCCCACTGACAACCCCCAGTGACGTGTCGCACTGGGGTTGGCCGAAAATAAAAAAATAAAAAAAATAATAATTTTTTTGTCCAATAGAAGCCGATCCCCAGCACCCAGCTCAGGTCTAAGTCATTTTTCGCGATAGAATCTCTCTCAACATGCCATTGACTTCTATTCAGAGGTCACTTGACAAATGATTGTTATAGTACATATGCAATGTGAACCTTTATGGAAAAGGTGCTGAAATTTTTTGCCTTAAAAAATGTCTCCTAATCTTATTATTTATAATCATATAATTTAATTTTAAATTTTAAAAATTAAAAGTATGAAAGCATAAGAGAGGGAATAGTACGTTTTTGGGATGAAATCTTAATTCTAGAAAAAGAATTTTTTCTAATACCGATTTTGGTGATCCCAATCGTTTATTTTTTAGGACTTGTTGAGAAGAATACTCACGTAAAAGATTAAAGTGATTGGCTATCGGTAACTATAAGTTTGAATCATATTTGTTTTAAAAAAATAAACAACAAATATAATTTGGAGTTGGTCTTTCAAATTGTCATCTTAATTTGAGAGAGCGTTTAAGCTTGATAAGTCTATTTTGGAGTTTGGTCTTTCAAGTCGTGCCCAAGAGAGGCAAATGGTGTGGTTCATTGAGTTGCCAGAGCTGGGCTTAGGGGTTCCCTCCCTCCTGATTGGGTGAGGCACACTCCATTAGAGCTTGCTAATCTGCTTGATTTTGTTTCAATGTAATTGAGTTTTTTCAAATCAAAAAAAAAAAAAAAATAATAAATTTATTTTTTATAATACAAATTTAATTTAAACATATAGTTATTGTTATCCAATCATCTTGATTTTTTATATGAATATTTTACTCAACGAATTTTAAAAAATAAACGATTCAAATTACCAAAATCGGTCACAAAATAAACCTAACAGGCCCAAACGTTCTTCAAGTTGAAATAGCCAACTTGAAATAAGTTAAACCCTTACAAAATATGTACAAAATAATAAGTTGAGTTGTCAACCTATCACTTTAAAACTTAACACACATCAAAATGCATATTTTATTTACAAAATTATCACTGCTATGTCATTCTCATAATTAATTCAACATAAATTTATTTAGAAGGATTGCATTTTTCAATAAAATATCACGTGACATCATCATTATGAATTGGTACATATATATTTTTTTCATTTTGTTAGGCAAAACAAAATGAATACCATACCCAAAATTGCTGAGAAGTAAAAGGAAAAACTTACAAGGGCATTGAGAGCACCAGCCTTAAAGTGATGTGGGGACGTTTTGCTTTTGTGTCTGGATACATAGATAAGATTTGGCATTGATTCGCCTGTGATGTCTTTGTCTCTCCCAATCTCCAACAAAACCTGCTTTTCATTACCCAGGTGTAGTGCTTGTAAACACATTGATGTGAAGCTAGTGTTAAACTTAGACCACACACAATACTATGATTAAATTTGTATATTAAAAGTGTATTATTTTATCTCACATAATAGATTAAAAAGAAAATTCTATAATATATGTTTCGTTATGATTTTTGTAATTTCTGGTTATGATCTATTGTGGTGTTGGTTAACTTAATTATGAGCTCTTGTTATGCCTAGTGTTTAGTTATAACGATTGGTTATAATTATGATGTCGGTTATGATTTATTGTGATGATTATTTTGATTATGCCTTGTATCATATGTATTTAGTTATAACTCATTATGTTTTTTATTTAATTATAAATGAAAATAATTTAGTTATGACATTTGTAAAAATTAACACCACAAATATCATAACTTACATATAGTAAACACTTCTTTAAAAGTGTGTATTTTAAAATAATCCTAGATTAAATTATGAAAATATAATTTTTTTGCCCAAATTTGCCTACTCTTAAATTAAAGTAGGCTTGGCCCAAGAATTACTGTCTCAAACCAAGCACCACTTTCACTCTCAACCAGGGACGGAACTAGGAAAAAAACTATGAGGGTCCTGACTCTCTTGTTTCTATGAATATTATTATTTGTCATAAAATTTTAAACATATATATATATATATATATCATTTTATATATAAAATAACCTTCTAGTTTTAAAAATATATATGTCATTCTTCTTCTATCTTGAATTCTCTTTCTCTTTTACATTAAAAAAACTTATTTGAGAGGGAGATTTATGATCTGGTTTGGGCCATGATAATGGCCAGACAGGTTTGGGCCGGACGGATTTGGCCGAACAAGGTTGGGCCGTGGTAACACGGCCCCATCCTTAGAGGTTTTGCTCGGATAAGGGAAGACGTGGTTGGACCGGGCTGTTTGGCTTCACAATTTAGAAGCCGGTCAAGCGGGATGTTCGGCGCCAAGCGACGCGTGGTTGTTCCACGGTCCAAGAGTTAGCTCGGTAGGAAGGCCGATGGTAAACCAGTGTGAGCTGTCCCGAGCTCGGCAATGCCGGGATGCAACCGAGCTCTGTCGAAACGGAGCGCGGCGAGCGGAGCGCTCTAGCCAACTGCACAACACGGCCGTTGATAGGCGAGATGCTGCAGCCCGGCTGCCGAGCTCCCAGTAGAGTGGGCTGGCAGTTGGGTTAGGTGATGTTCAGCAAGATTTGTGCTGACATATGGGATAGCAGTACCACGTGTCGAGAGACCATTGGGAGTAAATTTGGGGCGCAGAAGGTATATAAGCATGTCTGCGCCCCCCATGCTTGGCAGATGACACAATTTGGTGAGAAAAACACTAAACATAACTCAGTCCTATCTCTCTCTCTATCCCTGTGTGTGTGTCTAACTTGATCATCAGAGGGGTTTTCCGGCCATACACCGTCGGGTAGCTCACCGCCGTTGTGCTCGCAGGTTGATCGGACAGACAGGAGCTTGGAAGAAAGAAGTGCGAACTTGCCTGAATATTTGCTCCCCGCACATTATTCATCTTGTTAGAAATAACTTCTATGGTATTTAATTTTTTATGTATATATATACATACATGTGTATTTTGTGTATATGGTGAAAAAAAAAAAATCTTTTGACCCCTGATAATGAAATTCTGGTTCCATCCGTGCCCCCAACAACATTTTCCCCCCCTTATACTTTGTATTCCTTTTCATAAATTACATTTACGATCCAAACAAAAAATTAAAAAAAATTGGAAATGAAAGGGACAGTAAAATTGGATAAGAATGGTAGATTAACCTGAATAACAGTAGGATGGTCTTGGCGAGTAAATCCTTGAGAAGTCCATTTGTTGAAAGCCTCACGTTGTTGTTGGTTAGTGATGTACTCATCCCCAACCTTCCCTTTCTCAACTACATTCTCCACCCTTGCCTTCATGCTTTCATACATCATCTATAACATGATTCAAATTTTTTTTAAAAATACAGAGGTGATTAAAAATATTGAGGTGTATCAAGCTTTGAATGATACATTTTTAGTCATCTAGGTAGGCAGAGAATTTTTTTTTCCGATCTCCTCTGTCCTTCACTCAAAAAATCTCTCTCTATCACGTGATTAGTTCAGAACGGAGATTTCCCTTTCATAATCAGTGACACTTAAAATTTCACATTAACATATTTTTTTTTTAAATAAAAAATAATTAAGACAAATTTAATTATAACTATTAATTTTAAATTTTAATGATACACTTTAATCATATAAAATGATATAAAAAAAATTTATTGAGAGAATCAAAATCCCACTTCTAGATATGATGTGGTCCAATGAACAACTATTTGCATGGTTTTGGCCGGATATGGGGACGCTGCTGCGCAGCCCACGCAACAGTGTCTGTTGTGTGGTAATTTGAGCCCATTTCGGGGTTTATTTTGATAATCCGAACCGTTCACATTTTAGAATACGTCAAGTAGAACATGCTTGCAAAAAAATGAAATTAATCGGATATTGTTTACGCATTCATCCACACACATTTATATCTACAAAAATAAATACAAATGTATTTTAGCTTGATTAAAATGAATACAAATGTGAGTGGATGAATAGGTAAACGATATCCGATTAACTTGATTTTTTGCAGATATTGCAGATATGTTCTACTTGACGTATTCTAAAATGTGAACGGTTCAGATTATAAAAATGGGCCCCGAAATAGGCCCAAATTACAGCACAGCAGATGCTGCTGCGCGGGCTGCGCAGCAGCGTCCCACTTCCAGTTTTGGCCGTGGTTAGTTGCACAACAATTAGTACAAAATTTTATAGTGACAAAAAAAAAAAAAAAAAATTAGTGATAAGTTCATTTTTATAGGTATATATGGTATTAAATTCAATACTTTGTTTTGTTGTCAAAGATATATTTAATGCAGCAAGGATTCTTTGTCCCCAAATAATCCTGTCCTCTTGTCTTAATTCACTCACAATCATTGGATCATATAAAAATTTCAAGATGTGAAAATTTCAAGACATATCCAATGATTTTGAATGAATTGAGATAGGGGGACAGGATTATTTGGGGACAGAAGATCCTTACACTGTTTAATGAATTGTTGGGGCTTGCCACTAGAGGGTCCAGTCTGGCCCATTGAGCCCACTTTTGGGCCCCTTTTCGATAATCCGAATCGTTCACATTTTAAGATTTGTTGATTACTTTATCCCTGTAAAAAATTACGTCGATCGGATAACGGATACTATGTATTCGGTTTACTTTTTTATGAACTGTTAATTTTCTGACCGTTCATTTTTTTTTCTACACAAAAGTGATTCGAATACATAATATCCGTTATCCAATTAACGTGTTTTTTCTAAGAATAATGTACTCTACAAATACTAAAATGTAAACGATTCTGATTATCAAAAAAGAACCCAAAAATAAATCTAATAGATCAAACTGAATCGAACTGTCCCAGATATAGACCGGAGACAGTCTAGTCCCTTAATGAATATAGCCATCAGGGCTACAAAATTTTCACACACTATTGTCAATCCTTAACCACTGTCAATCGCGAGTTAATGTGATAAAAAATATTCACCAAAAAAGTCATTGATGACTTGTACTAGTAAACATATCGACAAATAAATGAATAGATAGGCAAATAAATAGAAATAATAGTATAATTTTTGAATTATCATTATTCTTATGCTTAGAAAAATAAAGATTGTATTTGGTTTAGTTTTGAAATTGTGATTCTCTTTTTAAAGTTGTGATTTGAGTGTGGAATTATGAATTGAGTTTTGAAAAAAGAAAATTTATTTAGTTATAAGTTTTGAGCGTGAAATTTTTAATTTTAAATTTTTAAAAAAGCGGATTGGGTTTACCCGGTTGTCCGCCCGGACATCCTTTCGGTCATCCTCCCAGACATCTTCTCAAACGTCTGGTTGATTGACTAGAACGGTACATTTTTTTTTTTTATTGCAACCTGTTATTTAAATATATATATATATATATATATTGTTTTAGATGTTTTTTAAATATATAAATTATTTTTTTTAGATTTTTTGTAAAAATAATTTAACAATCTTATCACTAACCATCTTTAACACTATATCATCAAAAGAGTTTTGAATTGAATTTTGAGTTGTATATTTGGTTATGAGTTTTGAAATTAATTTTTGAATTGAATTTTGAGTAATTTTAAATTATGTATTTGATTATAAATTTTGAAATTGAATTGAAAATTTTACATTAAAAATATGATTCTGAAGGCAAATAAAAACGGCTAAAATTTTAGATAATTGTTCTAAAAATTTCAAATTTAAACTAAAAAATAAATAATCAAACAAACAAACTTGTACTCTTATCAAATGAGGGTGAGACAGCCTACAACCTGGCAGTGTACTCTTATCAAATGAGGGTGAGACAGCCAACAACTTGGCAGTCTTATCTACTAGTAAAAAAATTTGGAAAATGCCTCATACATCACTGGGGGTCGACCCCATGGCACTCAATAATTGGATCCAAAAAAAACTTTTTTTTTTTTGTTTTTGTTTTTTTGGGTTTCGCCAGTGGGGGTCGCACCCCACTGGGGGTATGCATCACTGTTGAAAAAATTTATAGATATGATACTAAAGCTGCTCTTTTAGTGCATTAAAAAAAAAACAAAAACAATTTTTTTTTTTTTTGGGTTTCGACTAGTGGGGGCGCGACACCTCACTGGGGTGCGACCCACTGGGGGTATGCATCACTGTTGAAAAAATTTATAGATATGATACTAAAGCTGCTCTTTTAGTGCATTAAAAAAAAAACAAAAACAAAAACAAAACAAAATATAAAACGAAAAAAAAATAATAATATTTTTTTAGTGCTTCTCTTTTAATGTTCTAAACCACTTTTCAAAATTTTAATTTCAGTGAAAGTATCATAAGATTTTAATTAGGACACGTCCTATGATTTCTTACGTGTAGATATTGTAGAATGGTTTGTTTTGAGGATTGGTTTGGAAAGTGAGTTAATTTTTTGATTTTTTGATTATTATAGTTTGGGGTTAAAAAGTCTTTTTTGGGAAAGGTTTTTTTAATTTTTTTGATTTTGTGTGAAAGAAAAAATGTAATGACTATGAGTTAGATGTAATGTTTTGTCTTATTAGGCTAAAATCTTTTTGTAGCTAAAATTGTCACAAACCCAACTCAACCCTTCTTTCCAAACGAAGCCTAAAAATTGATTTTTTAATTTTTTTTATTTATTTAAAAAAATAATGTGTAAAAAATAGATAGGTATTGCAATTTAAAAAAATTAAAAAGTTTAAAAAACAACTTTTAATTGAGTTGTCAAAACAAGCCAATCTATCTATCTATCTATCTATTATAGGAAGAAAATGATACTTTAGCGAGGAGTTTTGTGAGAATTTCAATATCTCATAATTTTATTGATTTTCTTAATTTTAAATAATTAAGAAAATCTCCATTGATTAGTTTTTATTTGATAATCCCATATTGAGAAAAGAAGGGAAGAATGAGTTATTTTACTCATATAAAGGCAATATTATACTTTTATCCCATTTAGTAAGGAGTCTTGTGAGAGTTTCAATATCTCATACTAATTTTATTGATTTTCTTAATTTTAAACAATTAAAAAAATTTCTATTGGCTAGCTTTTATTTGATACTCCTACAACAGTAAAAGAAGGGGAAAAAATGAGTTATTTTACTTATATAAAGTGAATCTTATACTCCCATATCATTTAATATAATTTAAATTTCAAAAGCCGATTAGGCTTAATCATTTTTTATTTTATTGATTTGTTGGTCTAACCATGATTTTAGCGATTTTATCAAAATATATTGATCAGATTTATTTGATTCGAAATAAACTAAAGATTGATCTGATTAAAGATTGAAAGACTGAAATTGCTTAATTAGAAATAAAATTTTCGTCCAAATAATTGTTAACTTTTATTTTATAATCTCACATCGGAAAAAGAAAAAAAAAAGTGAGTTGTTTCACTTATATAAAGTGAATCTAATAATGTAGTATTGTGTATACTTCAATTCAAGACAATTTAAAATTTAAAATTAAAATAACATTTAAAAATTTTAATTAATTAATTTTTGTATAAGTTAGTTGATCATTTGACTTAACCGATTAGGCTGAACCATTTTGGATTTGACCGATTTCCCGATTTAATCGTGATTTTTCATATTGATTTTATTAATTTTAAACAATTAAAAAAATTTCCATTGGCTAACTTCTATTTAACCATATAAAAATAAAACTCTAATTAGTTTATGATTTATTTTATAATTCTTCATCGGTAGAAGAAGAAAAAGCAAAGTTTGTTTCACTATCTATCTATCTATCTATATAAGAAAAATAAAGTTTTTAGAGAGAAGCCTTCTAGGAACTCTAAACCCTGATTATAAAATTATTTATTGTGTTTGGTTTAAGTTTTTTGAGTTAAGTTTTTTGAAAATTGAGTTTTTTGGTTTTCGTGTTTTTTTGTTTTTAGTGAATTTTTTTAAAATTTTAAATTTTTTTTACTTTTTTAGATGCACCTTATTTAGATGTATAAAAAAAGTAAAAAATTTGCGAACAAATATTTTTAAAAATTAATAAATACATAAAATACAAAAAATGTACTAAATTCTCGTATTTTTTTTATATTTTTTGTATTTAGTGAATTTTTAAAAGGTTTCTTTCACAAATTTTTTACTTTTTAGGTATATTTATGTTAGGCATGTTTAAAAAGTAAAAAAAATTGCTCAAAATATTAAAAAATTCAGTAAAAACAAAAAAACACGGAAAATAAAAAAGTAAAATTTTCTGAAAACAGTTTTTGAAAAACTGAAACCAAGCTTCTCCATTGAATTTTTCTTAATTTTAATCAATTAAGAAAATTCTCGTTGGCTTGCTTCCATTTACATTTTATTTTACAATCTCACATCGAAAAAAGAAAGAAAATG